GCCGCCGATACCCTCAGGGGAGGTGCCATAGGAGCCCACCAGAGCGGGTGGTCCTGTCAGGCCACAGTCCCCATCCCCCTCTGACTCCTCCTCCCGCACAGGCCCCTCCTCCTCTGGGTCAGAGCCCCGAATGATGTCGTGGATGCCCAGCAGAAGGCTGTAGTCCATGATCTTCAGCTGCACTAGGAACTGAGACCCCACTGACAAGTCAGATACCTCAGATCTCCTTCCCCACTCCCAGGTACCACCCCTAAACCTCCACTCCTGAGTTTCTGGGGCCCTCCTGGGGAAAGGAAGGATGAAAATTGAGGGTTGGAAGGATACCACTGCCCTTTAGTACATCAATGTTCTGGTATCTGAGGTCATCCTTTCAGCTGACTCTAGCCACCCCCTCCATGCATCACCTCTGAGGGTTTTTCATGTCCCATACCCAACTCCCCTACATGCAGAGAACCCAAAGAATAAAGGGAAGGGGAGCAGTTCCCTCAGACTGGGAATGGGAACAACAGGAAACAGCCATTTCCCAAGCACACGGATCATCACCTCCACATCTCTCTTTAGCTTCTCTAAGAATACTTTCTTCTCCTCTTCACCAATATAAACCTTCTGGTTCTTGTTGAGAAAATCCATATCCTTAAGGGTGGGTAATTCTTTAACCTGAAAGTAAAGGGACATCTTAGGAATATATCCCTTCCCCCAAGGTCTCAGAGAGCAATGCTCTATCTGGGGCTCTATGTCTAACTCAGTAGCTTCGAGGGGAGAGAGATCCTACAGCCCCTCTCTGACTCCACACTGCCACGCTGCCCCAGAGGCCGTTCTCAGCTCTAGCGGCTTCTCCAAACTCAGTCACTGCAATGGTACCCCAAATCACATCCCACTACCTTCTGCTTACGGTTTTCAGTCAAGACCCCTCAAGCTGACTTTTCTTTCTCCTTCTTAAGCAAAAAGAGCTGCTTGACTACAAGAACCCAGAGTGGGAGGTAGAGGGTAAACATTTCGCTCTTAAAGTTCGTCATCTCCATCCTTCGCCAAACCTTCCACATGGGATAGCCCATGCCAGTGAGATAGCAGCTGCTCCCGCTGCCCATTCCAAACATTTAATCCCTGGGTCGGCACCAGCTCACACCTCGTCCTTTTGGTGGTTTAAGGTAAGAATAAATAGCTGATGACCCCTACCTCTATCCTAAGGAAATCCCTTTGTCTGCCCTCCCTCATCCCTCACCCTATCACCTAATAGCATAGCAGTATCACCTTTTCCTTATCGCTGGCTTCTCGGGATACAAGGGAGCCCTGTGGAGAGACCCAAAGACCAAGTCAGCAGAAGTGACTAAAAGAATAGTTAGGATCCAGCTCCTAAGATGGGTACTCAAACCCATAGTCTTCTTTCCTTTGAAATGAACACTCTAAGTGCCCTCCCAGGCCCTTCCCCACTCTTAGGCCATCAGGAGCCTCTCCCTCAGCCCTAACTATCCTTTCCTTACCTTGAGGTCATACTTCCTGTGCACAGGAAGACGGTGGCTAAACATGTTACGCATCACAAGCATGTAGCTGTCTTCATTGTCCACGCTGACCCGG